TGGCTTCTGCACACAGGACGCGGTAATGCTTGCCGCGCAGCGGAAGTTCGCGCGACAGCCAATCAATATGCTGTTTTTCCGTAAGAGCTAGAAGATTATTACAGAAAACAGCATATTGATTGGCTGTCACGCGAATTTCTGCCGCGCGGCAAGAATTACGCGTTCTGTGTGCAGGAGCTATAAGAATCGGGCATCTCTACTCCGTAGCCACTTCCGCATTTCCTATAGTTTCAGAAATATTAATAAAAAAGCTTCGCCCCCCAGTCACATGTCTAGAGACAGACACCTTTTTATTAATATTTCGGAAACTATAAGAAATTCAGTGCAAGTGGCTACAGAGCATATACATCTCGCTGTTTGTAGTTGTGTGATAGTTTTCCACCCAGCTTAATCGCCATTACATTAAGATGTGTTAACACGCTCGGACCTGATTTTTTTTGAGAAACGTGTCTTTTGGTACCTTGGTGAAAGGGCCGCAAAGAAAAGTCTGAATCTAAGTAAAATACAGAGAAAGAAAGAGAGAGAGTGAGTTTTCCTAACTTTAATAGTAGTCAACTTTGTCGGCTAATATTTCGCTTCGCAGTAGAAAGCGACGATTTTGTTAAATAAAAAAAGTTGTTTCTCGTGCTAAACACGTCGATTGAGCCTACTTCCATCGAAATCGGAGATGAAGGGCCTAAACTGAATAATTACCAATGTTGCTTGTGATATTTTCAAAGAAGAGATAAGGATATCACATCAGATAAGTGTCGTTGAATATAGAAAAACATATCTAAAGAATTCGAATGCTTTGTGTCGTTTTTAATCCTTGCAGTTATAGATCTAATGGTTATGAAAGAAAAAAAGAAGGACAGAGAATGAGAATAGAAAATAGACAGATGGACAAGAAGAGGAGACCGAGGTAGAGAAAAAAGATGTATGAGTGAGTGAGCCAACATCAGTGCATCATTGCACACTTTTCTCTGTATACTTTTACAATTGGAAAAGTATCAAGAAGAAAAAAAAAATATATATATATATATGTTA